TTTTTTTTTTAAGATGGGGTTTCACCATGATGGCCAGGCTGGTCTTAAACTCCTGACCTCAGGATCCACCCACCTCAGCCTCCCAAAGTGCTAGGATTACAGGCGTGAGCCACCACACCCGGCCTATAGGCTAATTTTTGTAAATAAAAATGGCATTGCAAATCTAGACGTTTGGTCCATGTTTCGTTTATGGTGTTTTTTCTATAATTCTGTCAAATTCATTATCAGCCTCAATGCACATCCTAAATTCATTATGACCAATGGGTGTACTTTTGTAAAGCACTGGTTGCAGATGAATCTTCCAGCAGAAATCCAGACATAAAGTAAAAGTATTGACACAACCAGGAAAAAAATTGCCATCATCTATGTGGTACCTAGTTAGCCACAGCTGAGGAGGAAGTGTAAGGAGTGGAGAGATATAAGACATAAAATGTATGCAATGTAGCAAGCTCGTGATCACAATGGACAGGTTCCTCTGTTTGCTAAAAATAGGGATCTCATTGTGTAGTAATTATCTCCCTCAAGGTTTGGAACAAGATGAGAATCTTGCTCAAAAATAGGTCACTATTAACTGGAAAATATAATTCTAGTCTTAAAAAAAAAGACTAGAAAATTAGTGGCGGGCATTAATTTCTTGTTATTTATGAAAGCACTTTGGGAGCAAGGTCCATTGAGTCTTATTTCCTTTTTATGGAAACAGACACCATTATTCAATTTTGTCCTATCTTTTCATTAATAGGTGTAAAACACCCCCAGGGAGTTCCAAAGCTTCAGTGGAAACCAGAAGCAATATAGTAAGTCTATACCTAAGTGGCTCTCACGCAGCCTAGGAGTTCTCCAAACCAGAGGAAGCCCAAGCAAGTCTCTACGAGGCTGGTTCTGCCTTCTCAAGGGGCAAAATGACAATATTATTTGAGCACTGGTTCCTAGCAACAAGGACTTACCCCATTATCTCACATTCTTTCTTTAAGAGTTTCCTTGTTTTAAGAAAAATTCCTGTTAGATACCTCCTTTAAGGTGCACAGTACACCAGACAGTAATAAAGTCCCAAACTGAACTTCTTAATAAAAATAATTTTTAGATGCCTGTCTTCCTGGTTGAAAATATGGGTCAACAGAGGACAGTGGCTTATTGAATGAAGGAAAGAAAAACTAAACCAGAGAAAAGGGGAGAAATAACAAAAAAGATCCTAAAAAATTTTACCTTCCTCCACTCTGGACTAACTAAATAGATAACACAAAATATTGTTCATATTTAAGCATAAAACTCTGTTAAGGGCAATCCTTTGAAGAAACCAAATTCTTTTTTGGTGTTGTTCACTGATAGTAACCCGAACACTGATGTTAACGTCTATTTCAGCTATTACATATTCTTAGCAATGACTGAAAATTGTTCCTCTGTTAAACCCACATAGCATAGAAAGAGATGCTATATGGTATAAACACATATAGAATAAAAATATTAAAATAGTTTATTTAAAGTAAAATAACATTCACTCAGCTATATTCATAGTTGAAAGGGTTCCAGATTTTGTGCCCGATAAAACGACTGATCTTATCTACTACATAATACATCTTCTCTAATGATGAATTGGGGCAAGATAAGCAGGCAGCCAGAAACTTAGAACACTGATCACAAGGAGATAATTGTGAGGAACTCAGCAAAGTTTTTTGAAGAAGATAAGAAGCTAGACCTCTGTCTCAGGAGGTTACTATTTGGAATTTTAAGGACATCAGTCACCCTTCTCCCTTTGAAGCAGAAAGAATAAAAACAAATAAACAAATAGATGACAGTAGCATGGAAGGAAAAGAGATTGAAAAAGGATGAGAGGGGAGAATATAAATAATTTAGAAGAAATCCAAGAGTTAAGGCACTTTCAAACTATAAGTGGTATGAACTATACGCATAGGTTTTGAACAAAAGGAAATGAGAATAATAATAAAATAAAGCAGTGGGGTGGGAAGAATCATAAACTGTACCTGAAAAAGACAATAAATCTGGGTCTTTTTGAGGAAGCAAGTATTATTGGCAATGCATTGTAAATAGATTTTTTATTATAGTTAGCTTTATTAAAGATAGTCAAAAAGCTAATATCATGTTCCTTAAATGACAGTGAGACTTACACCTTCCATAAGGCCAAAAGCCTTTCCACCAAGGATCAGTTGAGCAACGCCTCACTCCCAGGCTCCAATCTTACACTAGGTAGGGAAGGCCTTGGAGCCCTTTACCCATGACTAGCTTATGACAGAATGCGCTTTCACTCGCTCCAAAGAGGCTGGGAGTGCAAGGCAGGGAGGAATTTTCAGGCTTCTAGACCAGCCCCAGGCTCCTGGTACAGGGAAGAACAATAGCAGCTGAATTGCTTGGGAGAATCCAAAGCAAGCCATGTTTAACATCAGTAACAATTTTTATGCCCACCCCAAGGGCTGATACACATTCATTCCACCTCCTCTTTCCGCACCTAAGTGACTTTGACCTCACTTCTCCATACCCATGAACCATAAGACATTCCACTTTTTGCTCTTTCATTTTTGCCTTTATTGGATAGTCCCCAATCTGTTATGCCATTCTTAATTTAAATCACAGAGCATGAAACTATGCCATAATCCTGCTTATTATGTGATTTGCACCCTCCAGTATTATGCATGCTTCTTTCTGGTATAATTTGTATTTACCAGGTTACTTGTATTTAGTGCATTTCATGTTTGTCTACCCATGCCCCTCTTTTTATCATTTTGCCAATTGCTCAACTCGTTAAGTTACCCAGTGGATGTAAACCTGAGCATGAATGACTCCTCTGCTGACTTCTCAAGGTCATCTTGAATTATAAGTCAGTCTTCCAAGGTTCTTGTTACCTCTCCCAACTTAGAGTCCTCTGTGAAACTTTATGAGCATGTTCCATATTTTATCATCCAAGTCACTGATAAAATGTTAAATATTACCACCCTAGACAGACCCCTGCAGAACATCATTTTATGTGTCCTTTTAGTTGCCTCTGAAACATTAATAACTTCTCATTGAATATGATCCTTGAACCAATCTGTACCCAACTAAGAGCCAGAACTGTATTTTCCTAGATTGATAGTGCTATTTTAAATCTATATGCTACAACCCTGAGAAAGGAATTTTGTACTCTTCTAGGCTCTTTACAGAGATAGAAAAGATTTCAATTTTATCAGCTTAAAACTGACCAGTCAACACATGCCAAACAATAACCCTGGGTAATTTAGCACTCTTCATAAGGGTGATATTTTCAAAAAGCTATAAAAAAGAACTTTCTATTAATAACTCTGACTATAAAGGTTCATCCCGGGCTACTATTCTCCCCTCTTTGAACTTAATGACAACTCAAGTCAATGCCCTCTTTTTTTCCTTTGTTGCAGCTGCTATTGGGTTGGAAAAGACTGTTGTTGGAAAGGACTGTTGTCCAGGCTCCAAGAAGTCCAGACAAGGTCTCCAGAGACTCTCTATTTTTCCTCCAGATCCTTTTACTGACATTAATGATGAAGCAGCTTTGTCTGTGTCTCTGCCTTGGTTAGCAATGCCTTAGTGACAGGGCAGCTCCAGATGCATTAGATCAGCAGCTGATGCCATCATGCGAATGTCTAACACTTACTTTAGGTAGGTGACACTTCTTAATATTCAATCCTGTCTTCACAATGCCGACTTGTCCCACCGTAGATGGGTGTTCTTTTTATCATTATTTTTGGGACTGTTAATGTTTTTGCTTGTGATTCCTCTAAAGAGTGTTTAAGAAAAAAATAATTATTCATAACCTTTAATGCTAGAAGGGCAGTGTAGTTTGCCTGCAAGAATATGCATCACAGAGTTCTTGTTTAGAAATGGTAATTAATTTTACAGTCAACAGTAGTGTGACACACTGTCTCTGACTAGACGTCCACCGTGGCTTCCTGCCAGTCCTTTGGAAGAATATTAATTGACGTCCAGTGCTAAGCAGCCTCTTTGCTGTGTATTTAAATGAAACAACATGCTTTAAATTAAACAAATAGGTTCTAAATTTGCATATTCAATACAGGTTCTGTATCTTGATAGCGCCAAAATACACAGTTGGTTTATATCTTTATTTTTCCTCTTTTTTTTTTTGTTCTCATTCTTATACTCCTGACTCTTATAAAGCCCTATTATTTCCTTTCTTTTATTTTAACTCACTGCTTTTCTTCTAACGTCTTACAATATCTGCTTGGGCGAATTTCTACGACAAATACTCTATTTCTCCAACAATCCTGAACAATTTATTCCTAGGTTGCTGCTCTTTCTTTTTGCAAGGTTTCTCCAGTGACAGTCTTCAACGATTTTAGTAATAATGGATATGACATACATATTAATTTGCCAAGGATGTTAGATTAAGTAACACAGTGAATATATTTAAATAAATAATAACAAAATTTTAAATGACCTTGACCGTCAGAGAATTGGGCACATAAACCAGATTCAGTTTCCTGGGAGAAATTACATGAACGTTCATACTGAGGGGAGAAATAACGGTCCACAAATTGAGGATGGAAGTAAGGTTAGATACAATGGAGGTGGGTTAGGGAGGAAGAGGCCTGCCTCTATATAGCCAATGGCCAGGATGATGAATTTGGTATGATGAAGCCGTGATACACAGATGTGGAAACTGGAATATCAGACAGCATGTAAAAAATACAATCTATAATTCATTGATCTGTTAGGATTTTTTAAAACACAAACTAGTATTTAGAAATCCACAGCTTATATGATAAGAACACTGGAAAATTTCAGGTAGAAGAGTGGCGTTTAAAAATGAAGGTTCATTGATACAGGTATGTATATTCCCTATATTAGCACAAAAAAATCAGGTGATTGAGCTTTTCATAATATTCATCACCTGTTTTAAAACAAAAACAAGAGTCATCTGTAATCTACATGATTTTGTTTGGAAAAAAATATGAATTCAGTTATAACATTTGAATACATTATTCACATAATAATATACTTTTAGATCTGGCAGTAAGTACCTTTCTTCTTCTTCATCTTCTTTTCTTTATACAGCAGCAGAAGACTTTCTTCATTTAAAATCTTACAGGAGATCCCTGTGTTCAAAAGAAAACAAAAACCAGTAGGAGATCTGGAGCCCAGCCAGCACTGTCCTCTTTCCACCAAGAGGAGAAAACGGATCCAAACTGAGATGGTAGCTGATGGACGCCTGGAGAATCAGAACTTTAGTGCCAATGATGTAATTAGAACCCAGGTCCCTGGCCCCCCAGTTCCGGGCTCTTTCTACTGTTACACACTGTCTCCTGCAAAAAATCTTGTTTATTGCAGATTTGTTGCACCCCCCTTTTTTGCAGTCTTTGAAATTTCTTTTCTCGTGTTCTCTCACTTATTTCCCAAAAGCCATTTGTTATGTAACAGATGCATATGTGTTCCTGTTTATAAATATTCTACAGTAAGTGAAGAAAATATGAGGAAATAAAGGGAAAAGGCTAATAGGACTCTCAAACCCTCTATCGGGAAATGTCGGGAGACTGGGCTGTGTCCCAGGGGCAAAGGTCACAAAAGAAGAACAAACCCAGGAAGCTGAAACTGGTCTTGTAGGTTTGGATCCCATCCCACTCGTTTTCCTCTTCATTTTCAGTCTGTCCAAAATTAAGATGTTTGGTGTTACGGAGGTTCACCTTGGAAAAATCAGGAGGCCGCCGAGTGTAACTGTGGGATTGGTATCACAGTAAGCAAGAAGCTTAAAATCAAATCCATTACCAGGGAATTGAATCTAGGGAACATGGCTTCATTAAAGAGTATGACTTCATAAATAACTACACATAAACAGACTGCTTTGCCTTAGAGACTAATATATTTCAAAATTATTATCTACTTGAAATATTTACCTAAAAGAATTCACAATTAGCTTTCAATATTTAAACAGTACATTATAAATGAAATGTTTATAAATATCAGAAACAAAAGCCACTTCATTACGGTATGAACATATGCTAACATGCCACATACTGCTTTTGAATTTAATACTAATATAGTTTTTTAACTGACATAAGGGTTTTGATAATAGCTGATATAAATATATGAAATGTCAGATTTAGAAGATAGTGTTTAAACATTTGTTTTTTAGAGAGTATTGTTAAACTTAACTTTTATTAACTCTGAGAATCAAAGAGAAATATGGTGATACTAGTGAACCTTTGAAAATCTTTTGTTTTATCACTTTTAATGCATGTTTAATATTTAACATTCATCTTATTACAGATAGGAATTGTGAAATGCTTGTGCTGTTTCTAAACAGTTTTAAAGTTCAATGCACAGTCACAATTCAGAGGGGAGATTTCACACATTTATGGAAAATAAGCCATTTTTGCAGTAAAGTTGCAAAGTGTGAAAGAATTCTTGTTTTATCTGCCTTACTTATCATGTTTATGAGTTATTTTGCCTGGAAGTAAATTGACAAGTTGTCAATGAACAATAGACAGTGCCCCAGCTAGGCTTTTCACAGGTTCAGATGCCTTTGGGCAAAAGGGCTAAATCTGTAGTTGCAATCTAGCATATGGAGCACTGAAAAAAGTGGCAGCAGGGTGAGAGACATTCCCTGCAAAATGCATGCGGTTGTTGCTCTCTAACCAATCTGCTTGGACCACTGTACATTATGAATTCAGGTACCATCGTCTTGCCATACAGGAATCGGATGGCTTGCCTCCATATAATAACTTGTTTCTGTTTATCATAGTGTACTTTGGTCCACTTTGTCATTTTAAACTATTTTATCCCTCCAAACAATTATTATTAAAAATTCATTTTTAGTATTAAAAAGCCACTTCCCCATTCTAGATGGCTCTCTATTGAAAACTTCTCACAGAATCGCATAGGAAGAAAAGCAATCTCAGAGACCCTTTTTTCAGTGGGTAAGGGTGGGCCTTGACATCCACTTTTACCCACAGCATCTCAGAATTACCCAGCCACAACATTTCATGTATTTTTCTCCCATCTTATGTTTCCCACAATGCTATTGTGGGTCTATTTTATGATAACTCATACAGCTGAACAGATTACTAAACAGCTAAGTGGGCTTTCAGTAGATGGCACTCTTTGTTCTGAATCAGCCCAATATTGTTTTGCCACTTCACTCGAAGGCCAGCTGTTCTTTGAAGCTCCTGCCCTCCAGATATACCACTCTCTAAGACACAGAGATGGGGATTGGGGTAAAAGTTATGGGTGGGATTTCTAACCCAAGAAACAAGGAGGACACAAACAATGTAGCCTCGTTAGTAAGAATTAACTAGGAAAAAAAAATCCTGAAGTTTGAATGTGAGAAAAGCCAAGTCCAGGGTCAGTGATGGATGTGGTTAGACTCAAAGAGACAAGGGTTTTAATGTAGTCTTGAAATAAGCTCAGAGAAAGTGCATGTTAGAAAGAAGTGATGTGTTAGGTGACTGGGATTTATAGGAAAGCCTAAAAGTGATGACTATAGACATTGATGGGCCAGCCAGCTCACAGCGTATGGGAAGGTCAGGCCAGACAAAGCAGGAGTATATTTCTGCTCTCTAGTGGCCTCTGGTTTATCATGCACCCCTTTTCTATCTGTCTCCACTTTCATTGGTGACTCTTGTACCTGGTTCGGACTCTTCCTAATCTCCAGGCAGCATCTCGTGTCACTTCTAGATTAAATAGAAGTACATTTAGTATTTCTCTTCTCCTCCTTTGAGAGCTTCCCTAGGCTCTCATCTTCATTCCATTATAACAACTCAATGTCTTGACCACATCCTGGACCTTGTCTCCACTTACAAAATAATTCACTCAGTGAGTGGAGTCTCCTGCTCTAATTCACAGCGTTATAATGTATGGATAGTGTTATAATGTGCTCCTGCTCCTGTGTTACCTCAAAACCTGCTCTTCAAGCTTAATATATTCCCCAACACCTCAACCTGTACCTATTTTAGTTTCCAATTTCACCTACCTGATTTATCTCACTGTTAATATAATAATTTAAATGACAATATTACCAAAACCTCCAATTCACTCACTCCCATAATGCAGGGTACAGTGAAAAAGAACATTTCTAGAACCAGAGAGAACTACGTTCAAATACAGGGTTTTGCCACTTTGGAAAACCTGCTATTTCTAACTTTGTTCATCTGTAAATTGGACCCAACATCTAACAAATGGCTTGTTTATTGAGAAATTCCTGCTGCTTCAGTGAAAACACAGGTAACGTCTCTTCACAATGGTTTCTTCTCCATCATCTTCCCTTACTCTCCTGCTGTCCTGCAAATTCCAGCTCGGGGATTAGCCCTTCTATTCATTTTGATCTAGGCTCCTAGGCTGCTGAAAGCACCCAGGAAAATCTCATGACTGTGCTAGTAATTTCTGAAAATTTAGGAATTTCTACTAATTCTTGAACACTACCCTAAATTTGTTGGATCTTTACTTGACTCCTTTTCCTACTCTTCCAAACCCTTCTCATTCTCTTCAAGCCTCCTCTTGCCCCACTGTCCCTAGGAAGATGGTGATGCCTCTTCCTTTTCAGAAGGAAGAAAATAGAGTTCATCAAGCATTAAGTACCTCAATTTTGTCCCTACCCTCTCTTGATATGTATCTGTCATTACTCACCCTTACTGTTAACTTTTTTTAAGAAGTGGTGTTCTATTCCTTTCAAAGGCCAACTCCTTCACCTAAGTTCTTTACCCCTTTCTCTCTCTATGCAAAGTTGCTATGTGAAGCTCATCAATATTTTAAGGTGCCTTCATGGTTATGTGGGACTAGTTTTAATGCTCAAAGTAGGAAGAGCCTTATCTCTTCTGGTCTATAAGTTAAACTTTACTTGGCCTTTGCTGTCAACCTCTACCCCTTTGCCAGTTTTTGCAATCCTTTATAGGAATTAAGTGATTTATATTTCATTTCTTCCCTTATCTTCCCTCTGGAGGTTGGTGCTAATAAATGGGGAAGTGGCCAGGAGGGAGGAAGATGCCAAGCACGGGAGAGAGGAGTTTGTCAGGAAAAACCTATAAAATGAAACATGTAAGCCAGATAAGCAAAAGCCAACTGTTAATCTGTTTGAAAACAGATATACTCTAGGATGATGTCAAAATTAATTAAGACACAGAAAGCAATCAGAGTTATAAAATATGCTCCCAGTTGTTTGAATCCTATTTCCCCATTAAAAGAGTGTTATCCAAGGTGGACAGGTTACCAGAGTACTAAAAGCTTGTGTAATCTTTATGTCTAATATACAAAAATGAATACCATAATTTTATCTGGGTTCTGAAACATGCATTCTAAGTTCCACCTGAGACCCCAGAAACCCACATTCAAGGAATATTAGGGAGTCAAGCAGGATGTTCTTTATGTGCCTGTTGCAGGAACATTATCTCACACAGGGTTTCTCTCATGCTTTCACCACAACATGGCAACAGTCATCAGCACAGGCTTCTGTGACTAAGTTATCGGGGGTTTTCCCCACACACCAAGCATTGGACACCAGCTGAATGTTCTCTAATGTACATTAGATTTGATTCCAACATTTGATTACAGTAAATCTACCTGTAGATAGATAGTGTCAGATTTGATGGATTGAGGGATCAGTCCCCAAGACTGACCCCACTTGTACCCCCAAAACACCAGTCGCAAATCTGAGCCTTTGGAACTTCTGACCGACTGGCTTTAAGTTGGGGTTTTCATGACCCCATCTTTGCATTTGACTAATTTACTAGAGTGTCTCACAGAACTCAGAAAAACACTCACTTACATTTAAAAATTTATTACAAAGGATGTTTAAAAAGATACAGATGAAGAGGCATGTAGGGCGAGGCATAGGAGAAGGGGCAGGGAGCATCCGTGCCCTCCCTGGCTGTGCTGCCCGTCAGGAACCTCTGTGTGTTTAGCTATCCAGAACCTCTCTCAACCCTGTCCTCTTGGGGTTCTATAGAGGCTTTATTACATAGCTATAATTGATTAAAGCATCGACCATTGGTAATCAGCTCCTCTCCTCTCTCAGGAAGTATTGGGGACTTTCAGCCCCACCCCTCTAATTATGTCTTTGTCTGTCTGGTGACCAGCCCCATCCTAAGGCTGTCAGTCAACTTTGGCATATAAAAAGACAGCACTTTGGACAGTCTAAGAATTTTAGGAGTTGTAT